CCGCAACTATCATCCATTCATCTCAGGTGCTCACCCAGTGACCTAGCTGGGGCACCCAACCATTAAATTCGGAGTTATTCGACTGTTAGCTTACAATTGTGTGTAGCCTCTCATTCTAGGCACAACAGGTAACCTTTGGTCGAACTGCCTGAATGCAAAAAACATCTTGACTGTGTGAAGAATGGAAAAAAGCCTGCTGCCATCTGATGATTTATGTAAAAGGTAATGTAGAACTCAATCACTCAGATCACCAATTTTTACTTTTTGACAGTGGAGGGCTTTTGTCCAAATTGTGGAACAGTGAGGATTTTTCCTTTCAGAGGGAAGGGGGAACTTCAGTTTGACCAATGGTGAATGATATGCTTAAATTAAATCTCATTACAACAAACTCACATCAGGGAATTGAAGAATTTGTTATAAAAAATTTTAAAATCAAGATTCATGATTTCTAAAGCTTTTTTTCACACCAAAATGTTTCTGGAAAAGCACAATGAAGGCATTCAAGTGTTTCCAAAAAATAATTCAATAATTACATGATAAGTAATGAGTATCCATGTTGTAATGAAAATAAAACTTGAAATAAACAGTAACTTCCTTCTGCTGAGTGCTGACCCTGCCATCCTACAAAAAAGTGACATATGTTTTAAAATACATACAATGAACATAAATACATGTCCCAGCGAGCACAAAAATTCCATTTTGGATCCAAAGCAACTTATCCCAGAATCTTGCAAAAATTGGACAAGTTTTGGACAAGTTGCTTTGGATTCAAAAGCAGCCAATTGCTTTTGAATGCCTTTTGAATCCAAAACTTGTATTCAAATTTTTATTTAATTCAGCTGCATTGTGGAACCATATAACTACGTTCAATTGAAAGAGAATTGATTTGGTGCTCTTTTCATTGTCACAGCTCAATTTCCTAATCAGCTATTCCAAGTCAAAAATTGGTTGACTTTTTTTAGGCCCTCCCTGTATATATAATACAAAACTACATTTTAAAAAAGTCGACCGACGTACTGCAGAAGTTCGACCGCCACTGCCAAGAACAGACGCCATCCAGCCGCCAGATGGCAGTTCTTGTCTCTCTAGTTGCATGTTAGAATTAGTGACTGCCAAGGTCGAGGACGACGCACTGTGGGTGACACGCTCAACATTTTCTCTCAGTCGTCGCAAACGTCGAAGTTTGTCAGTGCGTCTTCTAAATGACTCCAGCAATGGTCTGTTTGCAATGAGAAGCAAATTCAACCAGTTATTTTCAAAAGCGGAATGCAGAATAAATTTTGGGAATATTCTCTGCTTATAGAAAAATTCGACCAATAATGATTTTCCAAATAAATCGTGTCCTCGTGGGAATGTTCAATTTGAAGACAAAGTCACATAGCACAAATGTTTCAGCATTGTTTTCAGGCCGCAATATTCATGAACAACCTATAAAGATTCAACATTATCTGATGAACGAAGAATCATTTTATTCAAATTCAGGCGCATCAAGAATTTTCGAATCCGCATATACTCAATCCTTATTTCATTCGGAAACCATTTTTTTCGTGAAATTTAAATTATGTATGGAACCGAAGGTGAGAAAACTCACTTGTAACTCGGATGTAAAATGATCAATGCCCAGCAGGATTTCAATGCTGCCTTCCTCAAATGGTCAGTAGATTCCCCAAACTTGTTCAATGCGTAATTGATTAAGGACCTGGTACTTCTTCCGGCTGCGTCCGTCGCTGTTGCATTGGCTCCATTTTCCAACAGAAATCTGAGGTTAAATATTAAAAAGCCCAATTTCTTCCAACCTGTCGATTGTTCCACAGGATTATGGAAAAACAAATTCTGGATACAATTTCAAAATTAAAGACAGCTCATCAATGATAAAATTCTGACGAGAACGAAAAAAAAGAAGTTCCCCAGTGAATATACTGCATGCATTTTTTTCAGAGAAATGATACGCAAAGTTACAACCTTATTTTTTGACGTTGGAAGGAAATTTTTGCAGAAACATTTGAAAGGCGCGTATCTGTCAGAGCAGTGTTATTTTATTTTTAGAGCGAGATCAGTTATTTGACTTATTTCTCTGATTCAAATCAAATTGATTGAATTTTTCCCATTTTTCGATCATCATTTCGCGTATATAAAATAAAAAAACTGCCAGATTGATGTATTTTCCATTGCAATGTCAGATATTAGAACGATGATCTTGTTTCAGTCTGCGGAACAATGGAAGTTATCACAATTGCCGAATTATATAATTAATAAAAACGATTGAAATGATCATTCGAAGGCCCTCTGATGCGATCAGCACTGCGTTATCCAAACGTAAGTGAAACTTGGTTGATGGCAGATTTTCGAATGAGTCATGCTTGGGGTAAAAATTGTAAATTTTTCAAAATAAGGTCAAGTGTAATATTCTGCTGACAGGTTTGAAGAAATCGAAATCCGCCGAACATCTGCGGACATTCTCTTTTCCTCCACTTGACGTAACTGAGTCATAATGCCAATGTGATCATATAATGCCAAATATTGCGAAATGACGATTATAAAAAGGACCTGAGCGTGGCCACGTCGTCATAGGCCAGATGCAGTGGCGTCATCTCCGCCGTCATGGGAATCCTGGTGCGCGGGTTGACGCGAGCGGCGCCGTTCGTGATGAGCACGTCCAGTGTCGCCACTAGGTGTCCCGCCGCCGCCCGATGCACAGCAAGCATCCCGAAGCGGTCTGGCTCGTTGGCGTCCGCGCCGGCGGCGTTGAGCAGCAATCGGACGACATTCGGCAGTCTGAGTGACACGGCTCGCTGTAATGCCGTCATGCCGCAGTGGTCCAGGGCGCCGGTGGCACTGGCGCCTCGCTGCACCAGCGTCGACACGACTTTCAGGTGGCGGTGGGCCAACGCCAGACCGAGCGGCGTGGCGCCGGACCGCGCCCGAGCATTCACATTTGCTCCATGGGTTAATAACTGTTGACAAAATTACAGTATAATAAACAGGTAATTGATCCGATAGTTTTTGAAGAGGCCCGATTTGGGTGAATCCGTGAATCACAATTGTGGTTCAAAATTGTAACTGATTATTCGGATTGGGATTGTCTTCAGAAGGGTCCTAACACATCTCAAAATATTTTTCAATAGTTTCTGGGCATATGCAAGCCCCGATTTGATTTAGGGACACTTGAAACTCACCAATTTTGCCCTGACATCATCTGAGCAAAGCTTTCAAAAAAATCCTCAAATGTTGATTACTTGAACAAACTCAGATATTGCATCCCCAAAATTTCTACGGTAAATTTCTACTGTAGTATAAATGGGAGGGTATAGACTAAATACAGTTCAACCTCTGTAAGTCCAATTTCTAGGGACCAGGAAAAAAATTCGACTTTCAGAGGTTTACTTCTTGGAGTTTTCCAGTTGAGGAAACAAACACGTTTGTTGTCAGGAGAAGCAAAAGAAAGTGTGGTAACTCATAGCTGGCAATATTGTGGGCCTTAACTTGCTCATTGACCCTTGGGCAGCAAAGTTGGACAGTGATTTCAAAATTGTGTTGCACCTCAGAGAGGTGAAGAAAAAAATGACAACAGGGGGTTAAGAGGAAAGTTGGGAAAAATCCCAATGTTTTTTTTTCCTGAGTGCCAAAACATTTTTTGGGGGAAAAAAGTGCTCAGTTAGGCTACTGGCTTTTCTTGTATTAATCCCTACTTCGCCTCAGCCTACCTGGAAGGATTTTCCTTACCTTCTAGAAACTGTAAATGCTGGAGGATACAAAAATAATCTGACTATGAAGAACCATATGCCATCCAAGGGTTAATGAGTTTATACTTCTTGCTGAACTTGGAGGCAAGGGATCAATTGCTCTAATAGTCTTTCACTTCCTTTCAAGATGCATCAAATCATTTGTTTTAATGATGATCTCTTTCATATTTTGAGAAAATAATAACCAGAAGGCCTCAGAAAATTTGACTTACAGAGGTTTTAGAGAAAAAAGAGTTTAAGTTAGGGAGGTTTCATGGCTTCTGAGGGAATTCAAAAAATTTGACTTGAGGAGGATTTTGAATTAGGGAAGTTTGACTTAACAAGGTTCAACCATAACAATCAACAAACCATTTCAACTAAATCCAGTCTTCCCTCTGCAGTCGCATAATGCAATGGTGCATACCCATGCACATCCAAGTTATTCACTGGCCAGTTGGCAAGCAACTTGGGCCAGTCCAATTTCTGGTCCTCCGACCGGATCAACTGTGTCATGGAGGGGACTCCCCTGGGGTATTTCTTGGCCAAGGTTGCCACTTGGTCTGAGTCAAAGTCAGCAACACCTTCGGGTCCATATTCATGGCTCTGGAAAATCTTGATGAATGCCAAAGCACGTGCTTCCTTGCTATTTTTACTGAACAGTTCGTTGGCATGGACGGAAGGAGTTGCTGCTGAGGGTCCATCAAACTTTCTAGGGTCCATCAAACCGTCTATTGCATTTCCAGCAATCTCAGTACTTGTCGTCCAATTCTGCATGTTTCCAGTGCAGAGCCAATGAACAAAGAATAATGTACGGGATCAATTAAAACTGGGTCAAAGTCGTATGTGAACTACTTCCTGGAAGTAGGTCGAGGCGTGAATAAATAGCCCACACAGCTAATAACAAATAGGGATGAATTTCAGCAAATTTTGTCATTGTGTGCACCAAAAATCTTGTCAGGGTTTTCCCTGGGTCGAATTCGTGATCGCAAAACTACATTGCATTCGTCATCATCTTGGCAAAATATCCTCATGAGTTCTGCTGGGTGGAATTAAATAATTCCAGCACCACACACAAAACCATGCACAAAAGTACGCCTGTATTATCTTGAACTGCAAATTTGGCTGCATTTTCGACAGGAGAGTAATTTGCATTGAATACTGAAGATTTGTGAATGCGCAATACGGAACAGAAGAAATATTTCAGCATTTATAGCTGTGCTGATCTTAACTCAATGGAACTTAAGCATACACGATTGTGAATGTACAGTAGTTTGTAAAATAATTTGCACAAAAACAATGTCCCCATAGTCTCTCTGACCGACGTCCGTTTTGAGTAAAACATATCTTATTTTCTAGGGAACGGTCACTGAACTGAATGAATCAACATCTCCGCCAACTATGACTCACTGTAAATTATTAGCAAAAAATTCTGGGATTCTGCCATGCAAAAGGGTCCAACCTTTAACCTTTTTTAATCTCCAAATTATTGTTTACATTAATATGAAACAATTGAGCATTTTATGCCAAGTTTCTCCTGTGAAATGAACTGCTATGAAATTAACTTCCCAAAGTTGAGCTGTTTTTGTGTGCTGTATTTTATTATGAATTAGATTACTGTATGTGCGTTGGGTCAGTTTTCAGATTTGGCATCTTCAAATTCTCAAAATGTTGAAATTTGTGAGACCATTGGTTCAGTTGAATTTTAATTCAACGTTTGACTCGCGTTTGAAAAATTTATGAAAGGACCTTGTCATTTCATGAAGAATTTAAAGATTTGGATGAAATTACTGCTGAGTCTTGCTAGTTTGTCATGTGAGGTGTGTCATTCATTTTGGAGTTTTTGTGATTTTTGTCAAGCCTGTTCTGCACATTCACCCATGAAAACACCCATATTCCAACACAGATCAGGTACTTTCACACGTGATCACCCATAATTTTTCAACCCAGTACCCGTGTTTAAAAATGGGTGACTGCTACCCATGTATTATGGGTGATGTACAGATAAAAACACAGGTAAATTATTTCCTGGGTAAGAAGGTTCAAGCAGGTAAGTCAGTGTTTCTGATGAACAGAGTTTGTTTATGTCTATGTTTCCCAGTTATGGTGTGAGTTTGAGGTTAACACGTTAAAATCATCAATTTCATGCAATGCAATTCTTGACTAGACTTTTAATTGTGATTTAAAACCACTCCTTCAGGAACATGTTGAAGGCACACTCAGGATATGAACACTAGGAAACCTCATTCAATAGATGCTGCTCAGGTTCATGAAATGGGGAGCCCACAAGCCATTTCCCCTCCAGTGCTGTAGTCATCATGGACCAATTTCAAAAGTAACAAATCCAGGGCTAGGACGAACTTGCTCTGAAGAGAATTTACAGTACAATTCGATAATTCACTTTCACTACATTGTACTCTCTCTTTCTCGATTTTCAAAAGGTTAATATGTTGAACTCACTGATCCAAAACATTTTGTCCAAATAATGCTGGCCAGAATGTAGCCAACATCACTGAAAACTTGTGCCAGACGTATGACAAGAGTAAGTCATACTTTGGACAAGAGGACATTAATGACTCTGGGCCCATGTTACTAAAACGCAGTTTCGAAAATTGAAAGATACTCACAGGACTATGCTCCAACTCGAGATCAGGTAAATTGTCAGTGTACCAGGCTACCAGCAGAACATCAACTGGTTACTTATACCCATAAACAATTGGATACCACTTCCTCCAACCTGTCTCACAGCGAACACAATTCCGGGGTCACCGCTTCCGTAAAGCAATCCTGGAACACGAGCAGAATATCGGATTACCCAAAAAAAACTTCGTGAACAAGTGTTCAAAATCTGTGAAACCATCCGAAGGAGCCCAAGTTTCTTCCTTTGATTTGGTTTTCTTTCTGTCTAACTTGAAAGAAAATTCGTGTCTCACCATCATGGAAAAACTTCGCTTACACATGGAGCACATTCCAGATGAGAGTTCAGCAACGGAAACTTCGTGGGACAAAATGTACACCACCAACAGCAAACAAGGAACAAACTTGGACTGTTCTAGTCACCACTTCGTCCAGCAGCAAAAAGCAGTGGTGGTGGAGGCATCACCATTCCAAACATCCGTGTGGTATGCGAATCTGTTGGGAGTTATTGGCTCATCTCCGCCAGGCAGTGGGATCCATGCCAGCACTTCACATTATTCCCAGAAGTCTTTTAGCGGCAATAACATTTCGTAGATCAATTCTCATCCACGCTCCTCCCGGAAAGTGTGTTTTCTCGTTGTAACGCTTCATTTCCACAGATGCACGATGGAAGATGAGCCTTTTCCGTCAGCAAAAACGGTTTGTTCTGCAAGGTAATAACCCCAGAGAAAGAGATGAACGAACGAAAAACAAAAATTACCGGAGTTTCTATTCATTTTTCGTACGAGGGACACAGAGAAATTCCTCCCACCAAATCTATATTCGCAGCCAACTTCTGCGTGTGGACATCCATCATGTGCCGCAATTGTTCAGTTGGACTGCTCCTTCCCCATTTCTGCAACTTTTTATCGTTCTTCATTGGTCTCGGTTTCTTGCGATTAAGGTTCACTTCACCTAAATTCAACTCTCATACAGGGCCCTGCGGTTTGGTTTCCTGATTCTAGCCAGCTGTGTAAGAAAGAAAGACTTTGGTTTCCATGCTGGGAAGGGCTTATTGAGTGGGACCGCTTCTTCCTCATCATTTAACTTGCGGATGCTATTATACACGCACGTTCTCATTCTGAGATCAAAAAAATATTACTTTGGTCTCACACACACAGTTCCGATAGTGGAAGGTATCCACTTACGTTCGTCGATGAAGTCTGAGGCGCAGCGTTTCTGTAACAGGGAATTAGCTTTTTGGAAGGATGTAATGATACCAGTAACGCGCGCAAGAATTAGCACAGTACGGAACCTTACACTGTTAGTAGATGGAGTAACAGGGTTAGCTCCCTCCAAAAGGGTTAGCTCCCAAAAATATACCGAACTTTCAAACCAACCCCCGTATAATAATTGCAAAGATTGTCACATTTCCAGTAAGAACTATAAGTGTTCTAAATAGAATTAAAGATTTTCAAAATTAAATAAGTTGCTTCCATGACGGGATCGAGTTGTAGTTATAAAAAAAAAACTCATGAAGTAAGTTGTGCGTACAAGTACTACGTTACGCCTCTCTGTGTGCTTTACATGAGTGAGGATGAGAAATAAATCCAGGCATGGAATTGCTAAAAATAGCAGTTGCCGTCAACAACTTCTATACTCACGAGTCATTGAACATCGTGCATCTCTGCTACGATTTCCCAATCCTCCAAGATACCATGTTTTACATACCTGGGAATAACACTCGAACCACGGACAACACCCAGACGACGGCATTCGGAGCCTCTATTGTACATGATCAGAAGCCACTGGCCGCACGTTTCGTTCGTCTCGTTCTCCTCCAGCTCACAGGCCGGAAGAAGTTGCAGGTGCTCCTCGGTTGTTCTCATCTCGATGTTCACACAAGACACGGGCTTTCTCTGTCACTCAGAATCACGCGTCGATACTACCGTCACGTCTCTGTTACTTGGACAACTTTGAGGCAACTCCATGATTCACAAACTGTAAGGTACAACAGGAGAAGATTAGGGACTGTACCCTATAAGAATGAGAGGTTAGGAAATTAGCACCAACAAGATGTGCATGCGATTCTCCGGTCTAGTGTACTTTAGGGATGCCAGTGAAACGCAATGTGCGCGGCCATTTTTTACTCCTGGTGCCCTCTATCTGTACTTTGCTTTCCTACAGTTTTCCTCCAGCAACCCTGGCAAAGAGGAGAGAGTGACTTCATGTGTTCCATATGACGGGGCGCCGCATATATATTCACGCCGCGTTGTGTGAATACATATGCAGCGCCAGGTTGTGTTGTTCCACACAACGCGGACCTAAAGCTGGGGGTGCCCAGCCACACCTGGGCATTGGACACATTTTAGCTTGGAAAACTTTGATGTACTACATAAATTAATATCTGGAAGAGGGGGTGCCCTGGTGCAACTGTTCATCATGTTAAAAATTATGCGAAGAACTTTAAAAAAGTTTTAATAAAGTTGGTCAAGTGGTGAAGGACTACCAGTGATCTTGTACTTGAGGGGATTCCCTGGTGCAACTGTTCATCTTGTGAGAAATTATGCAGAGAACTTTAAAAAATATATGATTAAAGTTGGTCAACTGGTGAAGGACCACCAGTAATCTTGTTCTTGTGCTCAATGTGCCAGTTGTGGCCTGACAGGCCACAACTGGCACATGAGCAGGAGGAATTTATCAATTGTTACAATCCCAACTTGGAGTGCCCAGTCAAACATGGATGTATTATTGTTACATGATAAATAATTATAGTAGATTAAAAAAATAAACAAAAAAACCACGTTTTTCAA